GCCGTCGCCGTCGCCGCCGCAGTCGCCGTCGCAGTCGCCGTCGCCGTCGCCGTCGCCGTCGCCGTCGCCGTCGCCGTCGCCGTCGCCGTCGCAGTCGCCGTCGTCGTCGTCGTCGTCGTCGCCGCCGCCGTCGTCGCCGCCGCCGTCGCCGCCGCCGCCGCCATCGTCGTCGTCGTCGTCGTTGTCGCCGTCGTCGTCGCCGTCGCCGTCGCCGTCGCAGTCGCCGTCGCCGTCGCCGTCGCCGTCGCCGTCGCCGTCGCCATCGCCGTCGCCGTCGCCGTCGCCGTCGTCGTCGCCGTCGCCGTCGTCGTCGTCGTCGTTGTCGCCGCCGTCGTCGCCGCCGCCGCCGCCATCGTCGTCGTCGTCTTCGTCGTCGTCGTCGTCGCCGTCGTCATCGCCGTCGTCGTCGTAGTCCGCGTCCCCAATTGGACGACCCAGGGTCGGGCACGTCATCGTCGCCGGAGGCCCTGGGAGGCCTTTCCCGTAATCCAAAAACGTCCTGAATCAACTCAAGACGAAGAACCGGCCCTGGGTTGCTCCTCTTAACATTCCCGTTCCTGCACCTGCTCATGGTTATTCATATCGTTCTCCTCCTCTTCCTCCTCCTCTTCCTTCACCCCATCATCTCCTTTCTCCTCCGTCCCGTCTGGTTCCGGCTCCCCCGCCCGTCTCCCTCGGGAAGCGTCGCGGCGCGCGCGGGGCGCAACGCCTGTCGCCCTATCCTCTCCCGCCCTTTCCGTTTCTCCAAGTCCTCGTCTTGCTCCTCTCGTCCTTCCCCTCGTTTTAGTCCTTGTCTTCGCCGTGGTCTGGGGGGGCGGAGGCAAAAGATATCGTGTTCCCTACAAGCTCGGTTAGGACATGAAATGTTGGGCTGTCTCGGGGGGCATCCAGGGGCTTCCCTTTGGGGACCCTCAGGGACTTCCCGGGACCTCGCGGGGAGCTCATTATCCTTCTCAGCTTCGCCATCGCCATTGTCATCGTTATCGGCATCGTCGTCATCATCATCGTCGTCGTCCGCCTCAGCATCAGCCTCACCCGCCATCATCATGGTCACCATCATCACGAGTATCAACATCCACGCCATCATTATCCTCCGCATCGTCATCCTCTTCCTCATCATCAGCGCGGTCGTGCATATCGTCGTCAGCGTCTTCACAACCATCACGATCACGATCACAATCATCCTCGTCACCTTCGTCATCATCATCGTCATCATCAGCATCTTGTGGGGTTTCTAGGAAAGTACTTGAAGGCCCATTCGAGTATTGCTTGACAAGCGATTTGGGATAGATGTTGCGCGCGAGAGGGGAAGCCTGAGGAATTACGTTATCGAGTAGCTTTCTGGTACCATGATGGCGCGTATGAGGGCCCATGTAGGGGATGTCCAGCAAGCACTTGGGGACGCAAGGTTGGGGCCGGGGGCGGAAACCTGAGGAATCATGTTCCCGGAAGGCTTCCTGGGAACATGATTTGTTGGGGTGTCTCTGGGCGCCGCCGGAGGCGGGACACCAGCGGGACACCGCGGGCCACCGTTTGCCGGTGGAGGGACTTTTGGTCTGGCCGCGGCCCAGCCACAGGAGAATTTCCTCTCGCCCGCCCACGCAGCTTCGCCTCGCCCGCACGCACGCACGCACGCACGGCACGCACGACATGAACCCGAAAGCGAAATCAATTTCCTGGTAGGGGGGGTCTCCGCTTCACGTCGGACACTCCCCCCAACCTCCGATATACATCTATACGACCACCCTTCGGGTGATGAGGAGCTTGTGGGGGGGGGAGAGAGAGAGAGAGAGAGAGGGGGGAACCAACATCTGACTCAATCGATCTCACTATCGATCTCACTCAACGGAACACCACGGGACACCACAGGACACCACGGGACACTTGTCGACCTCACTATCGATCTCACTATCGATCTCACTCAATGGGACATCACGGGACACCACGGACCATCACGGGACACCAGAGCACACCGCGGAACACCTCTCGATCTCACTATCGGTCTCACTATCGATCTCACTATCAATCTCACTCAACGGGACACCATAGGACACCACGGGACACCGCGGGACACATCGGGGCACCGCATCGATCTCACTATCGATCTCACTATCGATCTCACTTTTTGGGACACCACGGGACACCACGGGACACCACGGGGCACCACATCGATCTCAGTATCGATCTCACTATCGATCTCATTTTTGGGGACACCACGGGACACCACGGGCACCACATCGATCTCAGTATCGATCTCACTATCGATCATCTCACTTTTTGGAACACCACGGGACACAACCGGACACCTCGGGGCACCACATCGATCTCAGTATCGATCTAAGCATCGATCTCACTATCGATCTCACTATCGATCTCACTATCGATCTCACTCAACGGGACACCACGGGACACCACGGGACACCACAGGACACCAGCGGGACACCAGCGGGACACCGCGCGGCACCAGCCGCCGGAGGAGAAACATGCTTCCAGCCGCGGCCCAGCCACGGGAGGATTTCGGGACACCAGCGGGACACCAGCGGGACACCGCGCGGCACCGGCCGCCGGAGGAGTTCAATTTGGTCTGGCCGCGGCCCAGTCACAGGAGGATTTCCTCTCGCCCGCCCACGCAGCTTCGCCTCGCCCGCACGCACGCACGCACGCACGACAAGAACCCGAAAACGAAATCGATTTCCCGGTAGGGGGGGTCTCCGTTTCACGTCGGACTCACCCCCCAACCTCCGATACCTGTACGACCGCCCTGCGGGCGATAAGGAGGTTGGGGGGGGATTGAGATCAAATGCCCACCCTGACTGACCTCCAGCCTGTCACCTTGATCTCATCTCTCTCTTTCACTCTGTGGGATTGGGTGGGATAAGATAAGATGGGACAAGATGGGTTGGATAAGATAAGATGGATTGGTTTGGACAAGATGGATTGTATAAGATAACCGGATTGGATAAGAAAGCCCGCCGTAGGCGCCGATAAAAATGAATTATGAAATTAGCGACCTGCGTTAGCGCCGGGACGCCCGGGACACCCGGGACACCCAAGACACCGCCTGGCCCAACTAGGACACCTCCCGTCCACTTGCGGACGGGAAACGGACTTCCGCTCCTACTGACACCCGGGACACCCGGGACACCGCCTGGCCCAACTGGGACACCTCCCTGCCACTGGCGGACGGGAAACGGACTTTCGCTCCTACTTCGGCCTAACTACAGGAGGATCACGCGCAGCTTCGCCTCGCCCGCACGCACGACACGAACACGAAACCGAAACCGAATTCCCGGTGGGGGGTCTCCGTTTCACTGCGATCTCACCCCCCCAACCTCCGATATCTATACACATTTGTGTATATATATGCATATACACATACATGCATGCATACATGCATGCATGCATGCATGTATGCATACATACATACATACATACGTACATATATACATGCACGCATGCATGCATGCATGCATGCATGCATGCATGCATGCATGCATACATACATACATACATACATACATACATGCATGCACACATACAAACATACATACATACATACATGCATACATACATACATATATGCATACATACATACAAACATACATACATACATACATACCTACATACATACATACATACATACATGCATACCTACATACATACATACATACACTACATTACATGCATACATACATACATATATACATACATACATACATACATGCATGCATGCATGCATGCATGCATGCATGCATGCATGCATATATGCATACATGCATACACACACATACATACATACATACATACATACATACATACATACATACATACATACATACATGCATGCATACATGCATACATACATACATACATACATACACACACATGCATGCATGCATACATACATACATACATACATGCATATATACATATATACATACATACATACATACATACATGCATGCATACATACATACATACATACATGTATGTATGCATACATACATACATACATACATAACATTACATGCATACATACATACGTACAGCCATGCATATATACATACATACATACATACATACATACATACATACATACATACATACGTACACACATACATGCATACATACATATATATATATATATGCATACATACATGCATGCATACATACATACATAACATACATGCATGCATGCATGCATACATGCATACAAACATACATACAAATATGCATACATACATACATGCATGTATACATACGTACGTACGTACATGCATGCATACGTGTATACCTGCACACATGCATATATACATACATAAATGCATACATAAATACATGCAAGATACAGGCATATATACATACATACATATATACGCACTTACCTACCTACCTACCTACATACATACATAAATACATACATACCTACATGCCTACATACCTACATACCTACATACCTACCGACCTACCTACCGACCTACCTACTTACCTACATATCTACCTACCTACCTACCTACCTACCTACCTACCTACCTACCTACCTACATTCATACATACATGCATACATACATACACACATACATCAGGATCGGCCCTGGGGCGGGGCCGCGGATATGCATAGATCTAGTCGCCCGAGCAGAGGGAGAGGGAGAGGGGAAAGGGAGGAGGGCAATGTGAAAGTTTGCGCTACAGCAACCCGAAGATCACACTCTGCCTGCGACTGGATGCCCTAGCTGAGCCGAGCTTTACGAGTTGCCCTGGCCGAGCTGGCGCCCTCCGCCTGCAGAAAGGAGGAGGAGGAATAGGAGGGGGAAGAGGAGGGGGAGGAGGGAGGGGGCGGATGAAATGCGGAGGAGAAGGAGAAGGAGAAGAAGGACGAGGAGGAGGAGGAGGAGGACGAGGATGAGGAAGAAGGGCAGCAGCAGCACGAGAAGGACAAAGAGGCAGCAGAGAAAGAAGGAAGACTGAACTGGACGGGGAGGCAGCCGCAGCGGCGTCTCCATGCTGGAATTGTACTTCCCCGGGCCAGGCGAGAAGGCGCTGGTGCTGAACGGGTCCCTGGCAGGAGAGCCCAGAATCGAATCGATAAATCGGATCGGCGATCGAAATGAATCGGATCGGCGGAAATCGGCAACCGAGTCGGGAAAAGTCGAATCGGTGGAAATCGGCAGGATAGCATGCCTCTAGTGAGAAATCGGAGCCCAAATCGGAATCGAATCGAAATCGGAAGCCATCGAAGATTGAAGCGAATCGAATCGGAGGAATCGAAACGAGCCCTGCCCTGGGGCTGTTTCACGCCGCGCTCGGGCGAAGCTCGCCGGCGGCCTCGCATAAACTAAACTCCCTCCCCGCCTCGCCACCTCGGCTGCCTGCACACCTGTGCGGTCCTCTCCTCTCCCGCCTCCCCGTCCTCCCAGGCGGCCAAGGGGCTTCTGATCTACACAAGCTGGAAAAACATGTCAAGATGAGGGTGACGATCCGGCTAATTCATTGTTGCAAATGTTTGCTTAATATGAGCCAGCGTTGACTCCAAATAGATAGAAGACTGAAATCAAGGAATCAGGGAATCGAGCATGCTTGGAATCCGCAACTCAGCAAGCAAGCAAGCGTGCAAGCAGGCAAGCAAGCAAGCATAAAGGGGGGTGCCATTGGAAAAAGGGGGGGATAGGCATAGGCATAGCCATAGCCAGAGGAATTCCGGGGGGGGGCATTGGAATTCGGGGGGGAAGGGGGGGGCAAAGAACCAATTAGTAGGGTTTTAGCTAGGACCCTATGGGGCAAACCTATTTGGAGAAAACATGTTAAATTCACGATGGGGGCGTCAATGTTTGTAAATATTTGGCAAACTCGTTCAAAATCTGTCTCCCGGGCCCCCTCCCAGGGTCGAAGCTGACAAGATATTCGAGCCGCGCCCAGCACTGGCGACGAGCGGGCCTATATTTTCTCCTCCCTTGTCTGCTGCCTGGAGCCACTGCTGGGTTGCTTGAGCCCCTCAGCAAGCTGATGCCTCCCTTCTTAGGAGGCAACTACTGGGAGGTCTTCGCCGGCAGGATTAAGGAGGATGAAGCCCCCTCGGGGGGGCTGCTACGCCAGATGAGGTTGCGGATGAAGCGGGATTACGACGGATTGAGCGGGATCAAGCCAAAGCAAGCGGGATTAAGCGGGATTGAGCCGGATTTCGGACCAGGAAAAAATCAGAATTTGACCTCCCAGGAGTTGCATCCGAACCCTTCATTCCCCCGCACTCCACAACTCCAACTGGCCGGAACCAGCGCTGGGACACTTGAGTTGCATCCAAACCCTTCATCCCCCCGCACTCCATGACTCCCACTGGCCGGAACCAGCGCGGGGATACTTCAGCCCCCCAGCCAACTTCTACCTCCCTTCATCCCCCCGGACTCCAAACGACTCCCAGCCGTCCGCCTGCATCGAAACATTCTGCCCGAACGCTCTCCCCAGATCGTCGAACTACTCAAATTTGTCGAGCACCGCGAGTCGAGGTGAGTCGAGGTGTCCCTTGCGGTGGCGACACGCTACCTTTACCGGTCGATCTTCCCTCCAAAGTGGTGAATCTTAGGAGGCAGCCCCTGCAGGTCTTCGCAAGAACGAATAAAATTATTAGGCCAGTGCTCGACGTAGATTTACCAGCGCCGATACTGAGTTAACCTCCCAGGAACCTCGATCCTCGAGTCTCGTTCCTCAAACATCAATCCTCGAGCATCGAGCCTCGAGCCTCGATCCTCGAGCCTCGATCCTCGACGGAAATCGATCCTCGGATATCGATCCTCGAGCCACGAGCCTCGGACCTCGAACTCCTCGAGCCTCGACCCTCGAACTCCTCGAGTCTCGAGACTTTCGGCCCACGGGCCCTGGGAAGTGGCCCACAGGGCATCCCCCTGGCCTTACGCTCGGGGGCGTTTGAGTGTTTCCCCCGTTTTCAAAATCGTACGTAGCTTTTGCCTGCTTCTTGGAGCCATCTTCTGCCCGTGCTGGTGATGTTCGAGCAACCGTTGTTTCTGGTAGCCGTGTTCTTTCAGCTTTGCGATCCGTTTTTGCTCCGTTGTTTGTGACCGTTGTGTCGAATCCGTGCCGAACCTGCGTCACACTCGTCGAATCCGCGTCAAATCCGTGTCGAATCCGTGTCGAACCCGTGTTGAATCCACGTCGAGTCCGCGTCGAGTCCACGTCGACCTCGCGTCGGGCGCAGCGAAAAACACCGACGTGGGGGGTGGACAGGCGACGTCCCCCGAAGATGCAACGTAGCCGAGGTCCCGGCCCCAGCCTCCCCCCCCCGCTTCCGGCCCGGCCCGGCGCCCCGCACCTCCCCCCCCCGCGGGCGACAAGGGAGAGACTCGGGCCAGGCGACACCTCCGCCAGGCTGAGTTTCGGCCAGGCTGAACCTCGGTCAGGCTGACCTCTGCCGGGCTGAGCTCGGCCAAGCTGAGCTCGGCCCGGGCCGAGATCGGCCTGGCCGAGTTCGGCCTGGCCGAAGCTTAGCCTGGGCGAGGTTTCGCCTGGCCGAACCTTTCCCTCGTCGGGGGGGGGGAGGACGGACCTCCAGCGAGCCCCCCATTGTCCCATAGCAGCGCCATGAGGGGTCGCGTCAGAGGGGGGGGGGGAACAGTCTGACGCAGCTCCTGGGCGCGTGGCTGCAGTGGGGCTCTGCGGTGTGCACGTCGCCATCGCCCCGCGAGCCACCCGCGCCTCGGCCAGCACGCGATCCACCGGCGCCGCGACCCACTCGCGCCGCGACCCACCCGCGACCCACCAGCGCGACCTCTCCTTACTCTCCCAACCCTGGGACGGCGGCGGCGGTCACAGGCGCGCCTCCCGAACTTGAGAAGATGGCTGGCGCCCATGTGACGGGCTTACAGTCGAGGCGCTGACCCAAGGAACCCTAAACAAGGAACGAGGCCCCTTTGTTTCCCGAAGTTCAACTTCGATTTCCCATACAAAAACCTAAGGGAAACCCGAGGCAAACTGTACAACAATCAAGGAACACCGAGCCCCTCCGCAACGAAAAGGGTTCCTTCCTCAAGGCCCCGACTGTACTGGGAGCACGCAGCAGCAGTGGCCAAAACGGGGAAGGAGTTCCCTGGCGGCATGCCCTACCCATCTGCAACAAGTGGCCTGAAAGGTTGGCCAAACAATTACGGGTGGTGACATGGCAAAGACCGTTGTCGTCAGAGCCACTACGGAAGGCTCGCGCGAAGGACGAGGGCGGGATGGATGCAGTGTTCGCCTCAGGCTCGAACGGGAAGGGGACAGTTTCGCAGTTCGCAGCACCCGGGGACGGCGAGGTCACGGCCTGAAATCAAAAAGACGCCACTCCGCTGGACCTCCCAGGAGCCCACGAAGGTGGCGACAGCGTCGCATTTCGGAGGGCGAGGTCTCATTCTGATCTGCAGAAGACGTCACTCCGCTGGTCCCCCGCATGAGCACACGAAAGTGGCGACGGCGTCGCAGTTCGCAGCACCCGAGGACGGCGAGGTCGCATTCTGATCTGAACAAGACGTCTCTCCGCTGGTTCTCCCAGGAGCCCATGAAACTGGCAACCGATACGCAGTTCGCAACACCCAGAGAGGGCGAGGTAGCAGGCAGGAGGGTAGGCAGGGGGAGGGATGGAGGAGGAGGAGTGGAGACAGCAATGCTCTACGTAGTCAAAACGAGAACCCAGCACAGGAAAGTTGGGAGCAAACATCTAGCGTTGAAAGGGACGCGAGCGCGAACTCGCATCGATCAACATTCACTGCTGTGTCTTTCGCTGTCATGTCCTGAATGCGTGGAAAAGCTTCTAATACCCACCACACAAGCTGAACTCCCGCTTGCGAATAGGATGCGCAGCACAAGCTGTAATACGTGTACCACGCCCTGCGCCATGAATCTTTGAGAGGACAACACGCATTTGTGCGCTGAACATACTAAAAGTCAGTCACAGCCCTTGCAGTGCTAGCGGCGAGCATGGCGTCTCGAGTTTCCTTCGCTGCGCGTACAATAGGGGGCCCGACCATAAGAAACCTTCCACAAGAAACCCAACCCTGAGACACCGGGACGTCCATTGTTTCTTGGTGTGGGAACGTCACGCTTCCCATAGCAAACTATCCGAGAAACCCAAGGCACCCTGGAGGCAAGCAGGGTGTTTCTTGGCAAGGGTCTCCACTGTATCATTATTATTCTGGCAACCCTCGTGAAGTAGCGGACGCTCAACACCCGTCCGATTGTAGATCAGCTGAGGAAAAGGGAGGATAAGGTTGGACAACGTCTGGGAAGACACGATCCACTGTCCTAGCGAACTCATTACAATGCGAGCTCTTCGATCCATATTACCTCTGCAGTGCCCCCCATGCGTCAACCAAAACTGCCACCATTCCTCTCGTGTTCCAACCTTCGCTGGACAACTTATGTCGCTTCGTCACTGGAGCTCACCCAACTGCTGCACAGCTGCCGATGCAAGTCACAGCTGCTTCACGTCTTTCTCTTGCTCACAACTACAAGCTAACTATTACTCCGTGGCCACTGTATGACCGTAATCTGGCGGCGGCACGCAGATCCTGCTCGGTCCAGAGTCGATCAACGCGGTCCTGGACACTTCTGCTTGAAAGGAACGGGAGACGTAGATGGATCGGGAAGACAGGGAACAAGGAAGAGACCGAGGGGGAAAGAGAGAGAGAGAGAGAGAAATACGCAGATGGACAGTAGGACAAGAGCCAGGGTCTGGCTGCCCTCTGGGTGCCGCGGACGGCCCTTCCGACCCCACCCCCCTCCCGAGAGAGAGAGAGAGACAGAGAGCGGTTGGACGCTCAACCGCCAAAATCCAAGCGTCATGGTACACAGGAAAGCTCTGAACAACACACCACCACCACCAGCCCCTCATCGCGATCATCCGTCGGCGCGCCTAAACTTTGTCTATCGGATATGCATCAAAATGCTACAGGAAAAGATCCCCCGAGGCAGCTCGTGGGGTGAGGATGGCAGCTCGAGGCGCGCTGCGGTGCACATCGCCATGCGAAGCTAATTCAGCTCAGCAGCCCGTGGGGTCAGTATGGCAGCATTTTGCGGCACTGGTGTACAGGCACTCCTGACCTGGGCCTGGAGGTATATAAACCGGTCCGGGGCCCAGGATGCGCTTGGCCAGGGCTGGTGTTGGTGCAGTTGGACCAGCGCGCTCCACTGCTCGCAGAAGTAACGCTACTCGCAAATGGGATCCATTGCATCAGGGCAGGCGAGCTCCACTGCATCGAAAGTCGGATCTTTTGGAACGTTCTTGCAAGCAGGCACCCTGCGAGTAGCGGAACGCGCTCGGCATCTCTTGGCCGGCGCCCCTCCGAGCAGCATCGGCTCGCAGGGCGGCAGCGCTGTGCGGGGCCTCTCCGCCGCGGGCAGATCCCAGCGAGGCGCCCCCCGCCGCCCTCTGAGAAGGAGGAGTACGAGGAGGAGGAGGAGGAGGAGGGGAGGAGGAGGAGGAGGAGGAGGAGGGGAGGAAGGAGGAGGAGGAGGAGGAGGCGGAGGAGGAGGAGGAGGAGGGGAGGGAGGAGAGGGAGGAGGAGGAGGGGGAGGGGGAGGAGGAGGGAGGAGGAGGAGGAGGAGGAGGAGGAGGAGGAGGAGGAGGAAGGAGGGAGGAGGAGGAGGAGGGGGAGGAGGTGACGAGGAGGAGGAGGAGGAGGAGGAGGAGGAGGAGTACGAGGAGGAGTGAGGAGGAGGAGGTAGAGGAGGAGGAGGAGGAGGAGCGGAGGAGGGGAGGAGGAGGAGGGGGAGGAGGAGGAGGAGGAGGAGGAGGAGGAGGAGGAGGGTCAGAAGGAGGGAGGAGGAGGAGGAGGAGGAGGAGGAGGGGGAGGAGGGAGGAGGAGGAGGAGGAGACGAGGAGGAGGAGGAGGGGAGGAGGAGGGGAGGAGGGGGAAGGAGGAGGAGGAGGAGGAGGAGGGAGGAAGGGGGAGGAGGAGGAGGAGGAGGAGGAGGAGGAGGAGGAGGAGGAGGGGAGGAGGAGGAGGAGGAGGAGGAGGTCCGAGCAGCATCGGCTCGCAGTGCGGCAGCGCCGTGCCGCAGGCCCTTGAGCGCGGGGCCTCTCCGCCGCGGGCAGATCCCGGCGAGGCGCCCCCCGCTCGCCTCCCCCGCAAGTCGTCGGGGGCTCGCCTGGGAGAGCCGCGGCCTGGTGGAGAGAGCCGCGTGGCACCAGCTGAGGAGCGGGCTTGCTTCGGCGGCGAGCGAGGAGGCTTCTCCTTCTCCTCCTCCTCCTTCCCTCCTTCTCCACCTCCCTTCTCCTCCCCTCCTCCTCCTCCCTCCTCCCCCCTTGCTCCTCCTTTTCCTCTCCTTCCTCTCCTCCTCCTCCTCCTCCTCCTCCTCCTCCTCCTCCTCCTCCTCCTCATCCTCCCCCTCCTCCTCCTCGTCCACCTCCACCTCCTTCTCAGAGGGCGGCGGGGCTTCTCAGAAGGCGAAAGGTCTTCTGTTAGGGGAACGAAGAACACAAAAATCGGAGGTCCGCGCGGATTTCTCGCATCCGCGCAGGACCCCCCCGGCGGCCCGGCGCTGCCCCTGGCGCGAGGCCGGGGGGTAGGCTTCCGAGTCACCTGCGGAGGCCCGCCCCTTCTCACTTCCCCCCGCGCTCGCCGCCGAGTCTGTGGGGGCCAGGCTTGCTGCCCTGTATGGCACGCACAGGCCAGGTTCGGGTTACGAGAGCGAGTGTTCCAAGCGCCCCAGATGGGATTCCACATTCCGTTCGCGACGTGTCCCCAAGTACAGTCAACCCGTATCAGAAGGACGCACGATAAGGATCCAAGGGCCTTGGCAGGCTATGTCGACACTTTGCGAGCGGGGCGCGGCCAGCGAAAGTGGGCAAGGATGGACCGAGGAGGCAAGAATGCAAGGGTACCCTTGAAGGTTGTCCAACCTTGCAATGCGGGTTGACTGCATCCCCCAAGATCCAGGCGTTGCAATCGTTGAAAGAGCGCTTCCTGCCGCTGCTGGCAAGACAACCCCCCCAGGTTCGAACCGGCGGGGAGAGGGGGACAAAACAGCCTCCCACTCCGAACCAGGGGGAGGGGAGGGTTCTCCGCCAGGGGTTGCGACGACACCGACGACATCGGCGACGACGACAACAACGACGACGACGACGACAACGAAGACGACGACGACGACGACGACGACGACGACGACGACGACCATCACCACGACGACCACGACAATAATGGCGACGACAACCACCACCACCACGAGGACCACGACCACGACGGCGAAGACGACGACGACGACGATGGCGCGGGCGGCGACGACCACGACGTCGAAGACGACGACGACGACGACGACGACGACGACGACGACGACGACGACGACGACGACGACGACGGCGGGGCGCTAGTGGGATGCTATGAAAGCTGAGCCCAAGTAAGGTTGCATTAAGGCAGGATCGAGCCCTAATAGGAATCGATTACATCTGCATCCAGACCATTGTAGGACCCTATGAAATCCCTAGCGGGATCCTATGAGAGCTGGATCCAGATCATAATAGGATCCGATTCAAGTTGGATCGAGTGCTGGCAGAATTCTATGCGATCTTGATCCAGCCCTTGTAGCAGGATCCTATTAGACCAGTAGCTTTGGACCAAGCCCTAGTTGGACCGTATTCGAGCTAGATCCAGCTCATAATATGTGTTGTTTGCAAGGGAGCGAGCTCTCATTGAATTATACTAGCGCTTGATCGAGCCCGAAAAAGATTCTATCAGAGCTGGATCCAGCCCTAGCGGCAGGATTCGATTAGAGCTGGGTTCTGCCCCCCCCCCATCCCCATCCCCAGTTTCTGGGAAGGGGGAGGGCTCCCCCCACCCCGCGGGTTCCAGAGGAAAGCGAATTGTCCCAACCCCCCCCCAGTTTCCCCGGGGGGGGAGGAGGAGGAGGAGGAGGAGGAGGGGAGGAGGAGGAGGAGGAGGAGGAGGAGGAGGAGGAGGAGGAGGAGGAGGAGGAGGAAGAGAGGAGGACGGGACGAGGAGGAGGAGGACGAGGAGGAGGAGGAGGAGGAGGAGGAGGAGGAGGAGGAGGAGGAGGAGGAGGAGGAGGAGGGAGGAGGGAGGAGGAGACGAGAAAGGAGGAGGAGGAGGAGGAGGAGGAGGAGGAGGAGGAGGAGGAGGAGGAGGAGGGGGAGGGGGAGGGGGAGGAGGAGGAGGAGGAGGGAGAGGAGGAGGAGGAGGAGGAGGGGAGGAGGAGGAGGAGGAGGAGGAGGAGGAGGAGGAGGAGGAGGAGGAGGAGGAGGAGAGGAGAGGAGGAGGAGGAGGAGGAGGGGGGGAGAAGGGGGGAGAAGGAGGAGGAGGAGGAGAGGCGGAGGAGGAGGAGGAGGCGGAGGAAAAGGAGGAGGAGGAGGAGGAGGAGGAGGAGGAGGGAGGAGGAGGGGAAGGGGGGGGGGAGATTTTTGAGCCAAGCGAGGGGTAAATCGCGCTCGCTCGTATGTTCTTTTCACGCCAGGCGGTTCCGCACGAGATTTTCGGGCACTGGGAGCATCGCAACTCGATCCAGCTCAAAAAATGCAGCAACAAAATTGGGTCTGGGAATCTGGTCGGGATCTTTCAAAATGTCGTTATCGCCTCAGCGCCGCGCACATTCGTCTCAGAAGCGTCCCACGGCTGCACGGATGGAGCACAGGACGTCTTCACAAATTGTGGCCCTCGCCGGAGCGCCGTGCACATTCGTCCCAAGAGCGCCCAGCAGTCGGATGGACGAGGGTCGCTTCGAGTGTCGCACCTGCTTCGCATCGTCGGACCTTTGGGCCCGGTGACCAGACCCCCGACGTCGTGATCCTTTTCACAGCGTCGACCCGCAGAGGTCTGGACCCCCTTCCCCGGGACCAGATCTCCCTCCTGAGTCGTTTCGTTGACGGCCCCGAGGCTCGGTGAGGGCCCCCGGAGGCCGAAAATAGCGAAACACCTCCCGTCGTTCGGTGGCATCTCATGGGAGTTTCCCATACCATCTTGTCGGCCCTTGCGAATAGACGCTAATCAACGCTAGTCGACGCTTATCGGCGCAAAATCGACGCTAATCGACGCTAACAGACGATTAATCGGCGCTATCTCGTCGACGGTATACCAGGCTTCCATGATTTGCTACCGAACCGTCGCGAGTTCGCGCGGATTTCTTGGATCTGAGCTGGCGCCGGGGGCGGCGCTGGCGGCGGCGCCAGGGGACTCCAAAGCGGATCTAAGAAATCTGCGCGGAGCGCCAGTTTGGTCTTCGATGTTTCACGCGCTTCGCTTCTGAAGCCGCCATGCAAAACTGCACTGGCGACGAACGTAGCTGGCGCCATTTCGCTGCGAATGTCGCCCTCGATGCTCAATCTTGATTCATTCCTGCCAGCAGCTAGCAAAACCTGCTGCCGTGTTTCCGCCTACGCGCCGGACGGCGTTTGGCTCCTCTGTCTGTCTGTCTGAAGGGGTCTGGGCGCGCACCACCAGCAGGCGGATCTTGAACGAAAAATCAAAAGTACTCAAGCATACTCAAAAATGATCAAGAATAGTCGAAACATCGTCCCCAGACTATATTTTGACTATCTCTGAATATTCCTCCTGTAGAAGGACATGCCCAACTTACCGCCAGGAGGCAC